TTTTTCAACAATGCTCACCACAAGCGAGTCATGATTTTTCACACCCAAAATGTTTCCTCATCAATGCTTTAAAAGCTGCTCAGGGATTCTCACTCTCTTCTCACAACTGCAACTTATGCTTTGAGAACATCACATGCTGACAGCCCCCGAATAGCTCTTCACCAGACAAATTTCACTCTGACTATAAATAGCCGACCTTTGGTGACAAACACTCAGGAAAAGTATTACTTAAAGCTCTGTTTTGTGCGGCGCCAACATTAACAATAACAAGAGAAAAGGAAATTAAAGGAACCTTTTGCATTCTTTTATGAAAGCAGGAGAGAACCAGACTTGTGCTGTAAATCAATTTTACACCACAAATGACTTTGTGATGCAGTTGTTTCCTGCTTTTTTGCACTGCTGTCTCACCGTATAGCACAGAGGAATGAGAAAATGATGGAGCGGACCTCATTTCTATGATGGAATTGGCCAACACCTCACTCCTATTTTCAATAACAACATCTGCAAAGGATCTAGGAAGAAAAGAAAAAGTCTCTGCCTGTAGAAAAAAAAACACAACCAAGAAAGCAATGATGATTTAAGTTGGAATAAACAACTCTGTGTCTGATAAAGACAATATTAGCACAGCTTCTTTTGTAAGGTTGATTGCACAAATCACCACTAGACTTGAAAACCTTGATTTTGATGGAGGTCTGGCTCGGTTTGACAGAGGCTGGGAAAACAATACTTCACCCTGAAAGTCTCTCCTTATCCTCCAGAAGCCTCTCCAAACCGGCGCCCCTCTGATTGCATCCCAGGAACAATACATGTGGGTTTTCTTTGGATCTCTGCTGCCTGGAACACTCAGTGAATCTGCCGGGAGGATCAAGGCATCATTTTATTAGATGCCAAAAGCAAATCTAGATCCCCAGCATGTAATTACAATAGGGTAAAAGGCACTAAAGTCTTTATTATCTTTTGTCCTTTGGGTGGAAGCAGCATTTCTGAACTTGTAGTAGTTTTCAGCTGCTGGAACTGTAACATTAAACAGATTTAGCATTTTCAAGCACAAGCAACGTCAGGGAGAGTTAAGGCTATTAAATTTTAAGCATTTCACTGATTTCAGTGAAAATGACAAGGTTTTGCATGCGACGTGTAGGGCAATTTTTAACGATATCTGAAGTGTTTGCATACCTTTTCTTCTACATCATGAAAAATATTTCGTCCTTGAATTTGCTACAGCACATTCAGCCTGTCAACCTCAAATGGATTTTCTATAAGGAGTTTTCTCAGAAAATGTATGACTTCCTCTTCAGAATAGCAATGAACAGCTGTCATCAATTCATCAACGTTTAAACAGTTTTGTCTATTATTAAAATGTGTTCTTCCAATTGTAAGAAATGAAAATGATGTGGTCAGCAAATCAATATTTTCTTTTTGTTTTGTTTTTTTATTTGAAAGTCAAACGAGTCATCATGGATCAAAGAGACTGGATTTCCAGAAACTGGAACAGGTTTAAAAGTCCACAAGTGCAGATACAATCAAGAGATGATGCCATTATTTTATTATTATGTAATAAATACAGATTGTTCTGCATTGTGCAGTAAAGTAATTTAATTGTCACCACATCCATTTGTTTCCTTCAGGTGACTTCAAAATGTACTCTGACTTAAAAAGAGTTGGTTAAAAGTTTACAAAAGCTTTTAGCGGATTTGAATGTCATACTAATTTGGAGGTTTCTGACTTTTATTTTAGACTGACCACAGAACCTTCACTGTTCCTTATGTATTAAACTCCAAAAGTCTGATTATGGTTTGAGAAATGAGCAGCTTGGACATGATGAACTCAGTAGATAATCTTATTTCAGGACTCGACTCTGCAGAGCTCGACTTGTAAACATGGACAGATGACGTCCTGGGTCTCCCACCATGGCCGACCTCCCTCTTCGTCTCTTTTCCATCGTCACTGTTGTTGGGTCGGCTCATCAGGAAGTCAGACAGAACCGGCCGCGTGCGAGCACCCGGACTCTTGTTTGGGTGCCGTTGCTAAGCTGCAGCACGTATTTGGAGAATGTCACCCAGGCAACAGTGATGGATGAGTTTGTGACTGCCTAATTTGTGGGTCTGGTGCGTTTACCTTTGCCTTCACATTGAGCTCCCACCAAACAGACACCACCGCTGGAGATAAACCTGATCGTTTATCAGTTTTACCAAGAAGCAGCTGAGACTTTTTTTTTCGTCTTATAGAGCTGACAACTTAAAAAGACAACTTTTATGACTTCAAGGTTTTTCACATGAGTATTCTTACTTTTTATCAAGCCACCAGGTGATTTACATTCTTTTCACAAAATCTATGGTCCCAGACTTTCAAGTGTCCCAGTTTGAGTTTTTGAGGCGCTACCTTTATTTTAGAGATGAAATAAACCTTTGAGGGCACAGTTGAGATTTTTTGCAAACATTTTTAATTAAAACATCACCTGTTGCTGACTCTCTTAGTTGTATCCTGTGGCATTAATCCAAATAATTTAGTTCCTTTCTGAGGCTTGTGATGAAGTTGAGAGTTTTATGCTCTTCATTTCTGGTTTCTGTTAGTAGACACGCCTGCAGCATTTTGTACCACCTGCCGTGATGACTGGTCCATGTGAACAACGGTGAACCAAATGTGAATATATTAAAACACAGATCAGTATTTCAGAGCCTTTAGGAAGATAGTGACCTATGTGAGAAGTTATAATAGAAAAAAAGCTTGTCTTCACAGTTGAACCAATTTATTGGATTTGTTGAACAGCATGCCAAAATTTCTAACTAGAGGATGAATGTACTAAGTCTCAAGCAGGCTACACATATCGAGCTCAAATATAATGATTTCTGTTTCAATTTGTTTCTGAATTGAAAATGTAACGTCACACTTGCAGGACAGTCCATTCTTGAAACTGTTTGCAAACATCAATTCAGATATCAGCAGCAAAGCATTGCAAAGGTAACATGCACAATGAAAACAAACCAGGGCCAAGGATGAAACTATGAGGAGCTTCACATGTGATTGGTGCTGCTGATGAACACTTTTTTTTCTTTCTTAGATATAAAAGTATATTTTGAATTAAAAATAAAAATATCTCATGTTCAGCCTGTTTTGTAAAGCTTCTCAAGTTATAACAATGATTCTACATCAGACCACAGCAAAAATTCAAACTCAGAATCAGCACCTTGTAGCTTACAGAGCAGATGTATAACCGGGCCACACTTTGCACTTCACTGTGGGGAGCTGAACATCAGAAAACACTGCACTAGAGGGCAGTAGACAGCAAACCAGGCTCTTCGCTTTTCAATTATGTGAACAGGACATCAGAGAGATGTCTCGTCCGACCGTCTTCTCCACATGACTCGAACAATCTTAGAGTGAAACCTCTTAGAAAATATTAGGCATTCTAACTTGGATGGTGGAGATTATATCTCTATGTAAATAGTAGCTAAGGCTCCTTCATATTAACTAATGTTGGGAAATTCACACTCATATGTTTCTACATTTTGTACCCTTATGGTCTGGCAAGGTTAAGATTGAAATTTCTAAAACCATTACGTTTCTTAGGCTGTAACTCACTTGAAGAATTGATTTTTCAAGCAGAACAAAAAGAAAAAGAGTTGTTGACGTGGCGTCGTGCAAAATAAAACCCACTCTGTTGAACTCGGACGACTTTAGTCTACTGTCAAATCATGGGAGTATAATAGGAAAGATGATGTCATGGCAAAGGTTTAAAAATAAAACCTGCTAAGTGGCTCAGTCACCGGGTCAAATCTACAATCCAATCCTTTATCTAATAATCTGGAAGATGACTGGCTTTTCCAGCATCTGACCTGAGGACCTCTGAAGTCTCACACCAGTGTCAAAGGCTTGTTGTCTTTTCTCCTAGCAAAATACATTCTGGAAATATTTGTGTGTCCCGTTAGAAAAGTGAGCTGCAACACCTGGCTGCGTCGCTGCTGGCTCAGCTGAAGCTGGGAGCGACGGAAAATTTCCGCTGAAAAGATTTCTGCATATTTAGAGGGCTGGAGGTGCATGCAATGATCAAAAGCGAAGACTTAAAGCCTGGAGACACACATTCAAGATTTAATTTAGCAGTTTGACTCTGGAGTCCTGTTTCAAATTCTGCCCAGAGAACCAAGAAGCAAGGAAAGAAATTGTACACTTTATTTAGACTGAGCTAAATGATGATGGATAAGGATGTAACGCATGAATTAGAACCGTCTTCTTGTTATCATTAGCAAGTAGTCATGTTACTTTAAAAGACCAGTTAACACGTAATATATCACCTGTTTGGAATCCACTTTACAGGAATTCATTTGCTGCCTAATTAGTGGTATTATGGTAAATATTCCTTTGCGTTATTTTTGTGTATTTTCTCAACCTAACTGCTCTTTGCATGGAAGCATAAAGTTTACATTTCAAACTGATTGTAATACTCATTGAACCTTTTCATGTTTAATTACATAACACTCCAACTTTAACGTGTTTTGCTAAAGTTCATAGATATAGATCAGCACAAAGTAGTGCATGATTGTGAAATTTTATAATAAATGTCTAAATATTCTTCATATCTACTGGATCCCTTTACTCTGATTCAACTAAATAAAACCATGTATATGAAGTAGCAATAGACCTGAGACTGTGTCACTGGGATAACATCCTTAAACACACAACCAGCATCATTTGGATTTAGATCCAAATCTAAATCTAATTGAGTCTAATTGGCGAGACTTGAAAATAGCAGTCCAGATGACTGAGCTTAAGCTATCTTGAAATAAATATCTGGTAACAATTTGAATCTGCATATTCAAAAAGGTGGTAGAGATTTTGCTTTATAGACTTTCTGATGTGACTGAATTGATGGAGGTACTAAAGTAGGGACTGAAATGTTATGTGCGTCACATCTGTTGGATTTTATCTAAAAACAACTGGGGGGGAAAACCACTAAGTGTCAACAAATCACCAAAAATCTGGACGTTTAATTAAGTTACAGGTGAGACAATGCAAGGCAACTTTATTTATATAGCACCTTTCAGCCAGAGGTAATTCATAGTGCTTGTACAAAAAACGTTAAAAACAACACACAAGATAGCTAAAAACATCAAGCTGATTCAAAATAGACAGAGTGAATATTAAAAGTCTTAAATATTATATTAAGCAAATAGAATTAAAAATTTTAAGAATAGGTAACTGCAAATAAAAAAGGTTTTTAACCCTGTTTTAAGTAAACTCAAGCTGGGAGCAGATCTTAAAGTGGTATGTAGAGTTGAAGAAGACCAGAAATGTAATCTGGGTTTCCATTATGAAGAGCTTTATAAACCATGAAGGAGATTTTAAGTTATGTTCTTTGAGCAACAGGAAGCCAGTGCTGGGAGCTCAGAACTGGACTGATACGATGATCTCTTTTTTGTTTTAGTAAGGACACTTGCAGCAGCGTTCTGGAGAAGCAGGAGCTGCCTTACTGCTTCTTTGATAACCCAGTAAAAATGCCACTGCAGTAATCGAGTCTGCTAAAAACAAAGGCATGAACTAATTTCTCGGAATCTTGTGGGGACATAAGTCATCTAATTTTAGCAATACTTTTTAGGTGATAATATGCAGTTTTATGATAGATTTGATGTGGTTGTAAAAGTTCAGATCAGGATCCAATGTTACTGACTGTAATGTCCTGGTGAAAGATTAATGTACAGCTGTGGGTCATCAGGACTTCACAAGACGTTCTGCACTGGATTACTTCTAATATTTTACTTTAAATTATTGATGTATTTTTTTTTCTATGTCCCTTATTAAAGTGGAATATAAAGAGGTGACCAATATATGTATCTGTCTTGTAGTGATATCAAAGGATATGATTTTGTCACATATTCAAAACACTGCCATTTTGTTTGTTTATAAATTTAATCACAAAAAATAAACGATTTGTATTTTTCCTAAACAAATGTTGTAAGCAAACAATGTAAACAAATGTCTACAACTGATTTGCACCTGATTGGAAAACATCGTAACAGAAATCAGCTGATGGGAGTGAGGCTAAACTTCAGACGGGACAATCGCTTCCACTTCTGATTTGTTGCGGCTTCTGATAATTCTGCAGTCAGAGAGAACATCTGGAGCAGCTGACGTCTGCACACGGTTTGTTTTTACAAAGTCTTGCAATCTGCAGTTAGTTTGTTTTTCAGAGGTCCCAAATTATCCGAATTCCTCTCAAAACAGCAGATGACCCTCGCTGCACAACACAAGGCAACAGGACAGTAGTAGATTTTGCCGGGTGTATGGTCACCAGAAATAACACTGGGGGGGGGGTGAAAACGTTGTTGTGGGTCTGGAGCTCATAGCAACATTAGTTTTCCAGCGCTCAATGTTGTGGAACATTGGCTCCCAGTGTGGAGGTCGGGACCCCTCAGGGCCTCCTGAGATAAATCTGAACGGGGATCAGGGAGAAGAGAAAGGAATGAAAACATTACGTCACCATACACAAAAAAAAATCATCTTTATTTTGTCCTGAGTTGCCATTCTCTTCCTTTCCTTTCTGGTGTAACAAAATCACAACAACTGATGTGTTGTTTTTGACATTTTAAAAACCTTACTGTAATAATGAATGCGACTTAAATAAACAACATTTTCTGCTTCATAGTGGAACAATTTGGCAGATACAACTGCTACAGGAATGCAGATGTCTGAAACGGAGCAATATTTAAAATTGTTCAACTATTTCATTGTAGTAATGATAAATTAATAATAATTACAATAATAACGTAAATTAACAATGATAAAATTTCGGTCTGCAAATGTTGAGCGTAATTCAGAAGTTTAACACAGTTAGACTTTTAGAGGCATCTCAAATAGCGTACAGGTTGTTTAACCCTGAAACGGAATCAGTGAAATAAAACTTAAATTACGGTGAATTATTAAGTATTAGTGATATCCATCCATCTGATAAGCTTGGCAGTCCATCAAAGGGAAATGTTTTAAACAGTTCTGATTTGACAAAAGAAATTTAAGGCCACAAAACTAATAAAAAAATATTTTTTTATATTTTTTACAACGTATCTTATTTTTTCTAGCAGTACATTGTGTGATGACCTAGTTTTATTTTACATTGTGACAAGAAATTCAGAAATCATCAATACTTTAAAGATCCGTACTTAGAATATTAAAAAGTTAAAAAGTTAAGCCACCATACATAAATCTAAAGCTGACTTTAAGAAAAATATATGTCGTCTAGCTTTAAGAAATATTCGCTGCAGTACAAAATGACTTCTTTTCAACTGCTTTAATTTGCTATTTTAAGAGGCTATAAATGTACATCAAAACGCAACTGTGTTTAAAATGAATTAATGTTACCAAGATGTTTATTGTGGGTTGATTGCATAATTCAATTGAGATGTGATCTGTTATCCTGCAGCCTTGTAGTGGGATTTATTCAGGAGATTAGCCTTATCTAATGCCTCATTGTTACTCTCCGTGGTGTTGGAGTTCAGCTACTGTGCAGCAAACTTAGAAAAAAAGAAAAATGTTTTGCATTCAGAAAGAACATTTCTCAAAACTACAATACAGTATTGAAAAGGCTGAAAGGACGAAACTAGAATGTGCACAGGCAGCTGCATCCCAATGAACAATTCAGGACTGAGCCTGTAGATATGCTTGCATGCATTTGAAAACAGGCGATATTTCTTACCGAGCCGTGTCCCTACCAGGCTGAGGTGGTGCCTATAATGTAATGGCTCTTGATAAAGTCGGGCCTTGTGACTGTTTGCACAAAGAAATACATTTTCCCTGTTTTGTGAACTTGAATTGTACCTTATATCAGAACGTTTCCCTCATAGTTTCTCTGTAAACTGTTTCGACCTGTTGTGTCTTCACTAGTCTACATTCCCGCCAACTCATTCAAAAAACTCAACTTTTTTCACTATATTATTACCCCAAATTGTCATTGTGTACAATTGTGTAATAATTGACAATGTGCAAGCAAAGTTCCCTTTTGTAAATCCATTTTTCTTTTTATTTGGAGTGAGCTTATACTGGCATAAACCTTGTAAGCAACACAGCATATTGTAAATTTACTTGATATACATATTTACCTGTAGTTTATAATACTGTACCTTGCTTGCACAAAAACATGTATGAATCAGCATCTTATTGAAGGTTTTATAACAAATACTTTCACGTTATAACGTAAAAAAAACAACAACAACAACAAAATGGGAGTCGAGGGAAATTTGTGCGACGAAAGAGCCAAAGCTCAGAACAAAAACAGGTTGGGGACAGAGTTGAATATTTCACTGCACAGCTTGTTGGTATGGAAAGGTTTGTGTGATGAAAGTGTCTCTAGGGTGATGCCAGCCTCGAAAGAACTGGTCATTTTGCTACACATTCGGTGTATCATAAATACATAACTTACCACTTAATGCACTGTAAATAATTAGATGAAGCTGACATTTCTGTGACCACAGGGCTCACATTGTGCGCTGTGTTTGAAAGATTAGCATTTAGAATGTGCATTTGTCTTATTCATGAACATTCTTTGTAAACAACATGTCAACATGTGGATGGCAGCAGAAAGTACATCTGGTGTCAACAAATGTCTGTGGAGCAGCACGCAGCAGCAGTCGATGTCCTGCCTTAAGAAAAATGAAAAATAAAAAAAATAAAAAGTTGTAGCGGTCCTTTCCGAGCCGAAGCTGCTGCTTTCCGTCAGTCCGTTCGCCGTGCGGGTGAGAGCTTCATTCAGCTGTTGTTGTACTTTAGCTTGTCTTCAAGGCTGATTGGTCTCGGACGCCGCAGGAGTCACAGTAACAGTTTGCTTCAGTAGATCAACATTTATCAGTTCAGCCATCCTTTCATTGTGATGTGCTGCTGTGGATAGATGCACATGTTAAAACGTAGTGTTTGCCACCACGACAAAAAAATTGTAACACATTTTCACTGAAGACAGCAATGGAATATGCGATGTAAAGGAATATACGATTCAGTATTCATTGTATTTTAATGCCTCAAAATCCAAAGATCTTAACAGCACAAATCTAAATGATACGCAATCCATTGTCCAAGTGTTTTATTTGTAAATTTCTAACACAATGAACTTAATGAGAAAGTGGACTACCATATTGTATGTAATAATAATTGGTTGTTTGAACAGCAGAGTGTGTTTGTGCTGACATGAATATACTGAATGAATGGAGAGTGTGTGTTTGTACATTTCCAAATGTGTAGTGTAGTAAACATTGAGGAGCTTGGCAGATATTAAGAGGGTAGATGTCCCTTCATTCCCCAAAATCAGCCCCTTTGTTGCTCAGAAACTTTTTGTCAGTGTCTGAGCCAAATGAAATTGCATGTTTTAACTTCTCTTCTTCCCTTCAAACATGTATCAGAAGCATAAAGTGACGTTTTAGGGCCAATTGACTTGATGCTGAGTGTGAGAAAACTGACTCGAGATGCGCTTACAGAGTCTGAGTGGCATGACAGATGTTGTTCTCAAAACAATGTTTTGTTCAGCAGCATTTCTGTAGCATGGATAAAAAAATTTACAAGAAAACATTGACAGTTAGGTCCACTGTAACATATTTCATTCACAGCTTTTAAGAGAAAAGTGCTGATGCCAACGCGTAGCAGAGAAGCTATACTGGCCAGAAATGCATCAGAAGTAAACACATTTTACTCAAATGCTGCCGGAGTTTCAGTGTTTTGTCACAAGCATCCATTTCAATTCAATGCTTTTAAATTGATGGATGCAGAACTGGTTTGTGAAGCCGCAGAATGAAGCCTGGACTTTTCTGTTCCTACTGTTTGGTGATGATTCCCATATGCATTGATCTTTAAATTCGTTGAGTAGCATTAAGTCGCTTTTTTTCAGATGTGCCATGTTGTCGCTAACCAGATGCATAATTCTTAAGGTGTCACATTTTTCTCTGAAATACAGATTTGCTAAAATCACAGGAAAGAAAACGTGAAAACATACAATACTACTTTGTCCAAAAAATAATTCGTTCAAAAAGTAATAATTTCTTTTTTTTAATCCTAAGGCGGATAAAAAAAGATTCAACATCATGTTGTAAAAATCAAACATTTAAGTTGAAACCTTTTTTTTTTCCATTTTTGTGACCAACTCAAAATAGTTTTTATCGAAGTAATTCAAATGCCTTTGAGTCGTAGGAGCGGCCCGTTTTATTTTCTAACAGAAAAATAGCAAAGCCCGTTCTGTTTTCAAGCCTTCATGGACGTGTTTGGGCGTGTTTGGGACAAAGCAGCTGTTTTCTGTTCTTTTGCAAATATTTATGTGTGACTGCCTGCGGACAGGGTTTAGAAAACATGATTTTATCGCTCATGACGAAGAAATATTCCAAAAATACTCAGACATGTAGGTAAGATCATAAAGAACTATGAACAATAAATAACAGGTTATTTCTAGAACAGAGATCAAACAATGTCCACTGGCCCTGTACAGCATTTCTGTTTCTATCAGAAAAAATATTTCTGATTCTACTTCTGGTTTTCTTATGAAAAGCAGCATTGCACCTCTTTCCTGTTATTTATTTTTCTGGCTAATTACAGAATGTTCCCTCATCTTCTTTCCTCTGTGTTTGCTTCCCTCCCAACAAGACACGCAGTGTGATGCTATCATTTCATTAAATGTAATGGTGGTCGTCCCAAGGACCAGTTTTGCCTTGCCTCCAACCTATAAAACACATTTTATTTCTTCTTCAGACCAGATCATAAAGTAATTCAGATCAATTTTTAACCATATTTTAGTTATGTGTTGTTGTTTTTTTGCTACATTTTGTCATTGAGTTGAAGCATTCACTGTGTCAAAACTGTGCAAAAGTAGACAGAAAATTATTATTTGAGAAATATTTCAAGTCCATTTATAATTACAAACTTAAATAGCCTTTATAGGCTATTATATTTTCCATTTGTACTCAGAAGCCACAAACAATCAAGAAGTAAAGAAGATTTGAAAAATCTAAACTACACTTCTGAATCCTTCATACATTCAATACTGTCAGTTGCATAATATGTAAAGACAGATGTCAAAATGGAAACTATCAGAACTATCAGAATATCATTAAACCTATAAATAATAAAATATGATAAATAGTCGAATCATCACATATTCTATTGTTTCTCAGATTTTCAAGTAATCAGGAAGTTTTTGCCAAAATTCTCAAAAAAAAATTATTGATAAAATAAAACCATTTTTATCATGTACCTCAGAGATTGTTAGGCGCTTATTGCCATGAGACATAAAATGATGTTGTGAGCATCTATACTTTAATGAAGGACCTGCTGTGTGATAAAAAAAAAACATGGATGTGAATCATTGAGAGTTGAAATAGCAGGCTTCTCTTTAAAACTGAAACTCTTCAGGAAATCCTTCTCTTCTGCAATCTCCACCTTCAATACACGAGGATTGACTTGTATGACACAGAGAAGCAAGATCCAAACACAAAACCCACCAATATCACTGACCTACCTCAGGAGGAAGCCACAAACCCATAATCACTATGAAGTGCAATAGTGGGTAGCAGAATTAGTGTGACACTAATGCTACAAAGATCTTCCACTGTCTGTCTAAACTAAGAGAAAACTAAGGAAACATTTTTCTATTGTGCTAAAGGAGATTATCTGTGTCCAGCTTTCTATACAGACAATGTCAAGGACGGTGAGCAACAAATTAGCTTGTCTTTGAACAGCCTGCATGGGGTCCACATCACAGAGCTCAAGCCCTCACAATATTAGGCAGAGGACATTCGGCTTGTTGTTCAAGTGAACGCCCCAAGTTGGAAGCAATTGGCTTCTGTAATCCCAACAGTGCGATCGCTGTTGATTGACTTGGATAATGCGAAAAGAAAGAATGATATATAATTGGATGTTTGTGGTTATGGGTTTATTGTGAAACTGTGAGCTTAAAGGGGATAAAGTATCCGACCTGGTAAGAGACAATGGAACAAGTCTTTAACCAAGGCAGCATCAATTTAAGACAACTCGAGACACAACATGAGGCTGAGGGGTGAGCGAGTCCATTATGTTAGTAGCACCAAATTCAAAATGTATCACTGAGGTAAAAGAAATCATAAATATATACCAGTTAGCAGTTCCTGCTCAGTTTGGCCCATCACCATCGGCAGCTTCCACATCAGCCCCAGCAGAACCTTCTGGTTGGACAGGTTCAAACTGGTGGGGTGTTCGTCCGTTTGCCGTTCGTGCAGGTGCATCAAGGTCAGCATTTGTCCTGACTTTCTCTTCCTTGCAGGATAAATCACCAACGAAGTCTTCAGTGTGGGAGCTGGACACAGAAATTAAAGTAACTTCTGTGAGCTGTAAATGGAAACAGAATGATTTTTCCTGAAAGTGTGTCTGTAGCATTCACTTTCGCTACCGTTGTAATGGAAAACAAAGCCATTTCATCTTACAGTTTGCACCAAATGTAAATACCCAAAGGTTATCTCTGAATTATTGGAGTGTTGCCAAACTCTTGGATGCTTCTTTAAAAAGTTTCTGATGTCTTGTGATTGGTGCAGACTTTATAAAGGCATCAAAGGCAGTGTTACCCACAGTTCAACAGCTCCATGTTTTCCTTTATCCTGCTTCTTGTTTCATGCTCTCTTAGGTCTGATCTCACTCTAAGCTAACTAAATGCACAGCGGACAAGGTACTGTGTGAAGTTGGATAGGAAGTCCAATTAGCATGCTGAGGTGAAAATCCAAAAATTATAGAGTTCATAACTCAGGAGTCTGCAAGACCCCTATTATAACACATTTGAAATTGAAAGTTGCACCAATGCATGCCTGATTATATGCGCTCCATGTAGAACCCCTCTTAACAATGGGTCATTTCACATGGTCCTGGAAGACGACACACTTTAGGAGCTTCAAAAAAAAAAAAAAAAGAACAACAATTAACCAACACATTGTGTGACAAAGTCGAAAAACCTTTGAATGCTTTTCATTGGTTTTACCTCAGGTTTTTTCTAAACAGAAACCATCAGATAAATTTCCGATTGTCTCCACCAATTCAGCCAACTCTAAGGCACGATTGGTTTTAATAATGCAGTGCTGTGGTTATTTACAGTGCAGACTTATCTTACTTATAAATATCTAACTTCCTTCTCATGAGCCGTCAACTTGCATGATATTTTCAGAATCAGAGTCGTGAACCCTACGGGTGTAATCAGTCTGTATTTTCTCTCATGTCATCTCAGTTCTTCTGACATGTTTGGCTTTGTTTCCAGCTCCCTGAATAAACAATTGAAATGGAGGAAAAATCTATATGCTTTGCAGTTTGATTATATTTTAGCCCTGCAACTAAAATTAATAGTTTCTTAGCACCGTTTTGATTCTACTAACCAATCAGACTTATTTGAAGTCTAGAGTAGAGGCGATGAAGACATTTATAATTCCTTAGGCCTTCTAGCCTGCCTCTGAATAAATCCTATTAGTCCAAACACCATTTTACTGAATAGACAGAAAAGATGATGTTGCTTTAAGTATAAATATAAAACATGAATTCATGATTGAGGAACTAAACCTGCAGTTGCAGTGAAGAAGGGAAAAATATTGTGGTAAAATCTGTGTTTTCGGATACAAAACTGATTCTGAGTAAGAAACAAATTAACTACTTTGGATCTATTATACAAGACACTCTTAAAAGCAAGAATGTTATCTGACATAACTGATTTGGGTTTTATCATTTTAAACGGAGGAGACACTTGTAAACAGGGACCTGTCTTACGAAGATGACTGGTTTTTGTAATCAGATCCTCTTGAAACTGGAACGTAGAAGAGCAGAGATCATTGCAGAGTTATTGAAATCCTTGATGAATGGCATATAACAAGGTTTTGCCCCTACACTCAAACAGAAGGAAGACATGGACAGGTTCACGTGGCTGAAGTGATTTATTTGGCTCATTAAGCTAATGGGACTATATCTGTTTGTGTAATCACAACGATGATCTGTGCAGGTATTTTATACACTTTCCACCAAGTTAATAGCACATAGCTGCTTTGTGCAGCGGCTTAGGTGGGCAGAAAGAGGCTGTCCATATGGTCCACTGGATGTTGCATAATGGGCACTATTGATATCGGGCAGACATTACGCAGGAAGATAGCAATGAAATGAATGACATTGGGAGAGAACAGGTGCCTATGGCATCAAGTTGCAAGGGGTCCATGAGAAATATGTTTATTGATGTCTGAAGATCATTTGGAACTGGTTGGGCTTCCTCAACCAGCTCTCATCTGGACCTTTGTTGGGATTTTAAAATGTTAAACTTTCAGTATATCTTATAATTAACTAAAGACTGTTTTTAAATTATAAAAAGGAAAATGTCGGCACATTTCACATATTTCACATGTCATATTTCTGTAAGTCTAAAAGGGGCTTTAATGGTTTTGCGCTGTAGCATGGATTGTCTACATTTATTTGACAGTGCAGATTATTTGAGGAGCGCTCTATGCCAGCTTATTAGACATCTGGAAGTGAGTCTTCATTCCTGTTCTATTCTCATCCTCCAGTTAAGTTGCACAATCTAGTAGGTTCAAAATTTCTGCTTTCCATTTTTTGTATTATTACTATGATTTTAGGTCCCTCGGTTAGCCATAAATCATCTGCTTATAAAAAGATGAAATACAAATACACAGAAACTCTGGTTTGCAATAACCTCTGAAATGTGAATTGCCTACAATTTCAAGTTCAACATGACAGACAAAGCAAACACAAAAAACAGCAAAACTCTAAAAATCCCTTTTTAAATGCGAGGCCTGTGGTTCTTAAACTATGATAGCATACAGAAGACAGTGGTGATACTTGTTTTCTGCAAGTGGTGCTGAAAAATTGAAGTCACCACTCTGGAAAGTAAACAAAGCAAAGTAACCAGGATGTAGAGTTAGAAAGTGATTGCCACAAATACATGAATTGCCTTTGCTTCAACCTGAACTACTGAAAATAAAGTCAGAGAAGAGAATATTTCCAAAACTCTATGTTGAAACTGAAGCTGATAATAGCAAACCCAGATCTGGTTCTACTCGCCATCTATCTGTTCCTGTAATTAGAACCTTAATATGGAAATTGCATCTCATAAAAGTGATGCAACATCAAGTCAACAAAAGTAAATTGGTTTGTTGACTTTTGGTATGCTAACTGTCACGCTCAGTTACAAGCTAAGTTCTGTTAGCATTACCCGCTAATAGCAATCTAGTTCCCGAAACTTTCAACATTGAAACAATAACAGGATCATGTTCACTAACAGTGGCTGTCATGTATCTGTCAAATGTGCAACAAAAATTTCAATATTCATTCATTCATTCATTTTACTTTATTTTGGACATATAGAAACGGAAAACAACACATACTGTAGTTAAAAAAAATGTCTACAGGGTCTTAAATACCACTGAGTCCACAAAATACAAAAGTAAAGGTAAAAGGGTTGGTCAATGTAGCCATCATGCAGTTTTTCTGCACAGCCGACACACACATCTGCACATGAGGTTAACACAGGGCAGGTAGGCATATCTGCAAACATTTGGCTCACTCTGCCCTCAGCAGCATTCACGTACCATCAATAAATGCCACAGCTAGTCACAGGACAGCATTGGAGTCCGCTCTGCTCAGCACAGACTTGGTGGTGCTTCGCTTAGGATCATATTTTATATCAAAATTTCTTTCCTATCCAAACCAGCCATATACAGTGAGAACAAAAGATTTCTAAATCATCAGCATATGTCAAGTGGTTGATGATCCTGTTTCCAGCAGGCCGGACCACAGTAATTGAAAAGCATTGACAAGTTGATGTTCACATTGGATACTATCCTGTCATACACTATTTGAGACACTGAAAGGAACTGATACAGAGTGTCCCCACTTCATGTACATTGACTGATAAACACAGGAAAAAGTAGAAATTTTGATTTGATATTATACAAAGCTATATTTGAAATAGCTTGTCAGCATCAATTAAACGTGAAAATGATATTGTTGTGTCTGTTGTATTGATCTAAAGTTTCTGTACGAGCAAAAATATACACATCCATTTCATGTTTGATTGACAGCTGACTACTTAAGTTGATTGGTCAGTGATTAACATCACTGCAAACAACTTTCCTACCACTGCAGTAAAGCAGAAGACATGCTGCTATCAGAGAGACGCGCAGTCTGAAAGAGCGTACTTTGGAGTTTAATCTTGAGCAGTGCCAGGAACACATGGGTCAACTTTTAGAGCTGAATCGCTGTGATTTAGCAGACCCCCGAGCAGCAAATCTCTCTGAAGAATCAGCCATGTTAGAGTTTGAGGCCAGGGTTGGTAAGAAATTTGGACGTTTCTGTAAGATGACACTTTAAAGGAAGTCTTTTATATTTACCAACATAACACTTTAAATCTCAACACTTGTGGCAAAGGACCATACAGAATGATGCCACATCCTTCAACTAAACATTTATTGCAGTGCTTTTTATTCTTTCTGCACTGTCTTTATGCTGAACCCCTCCTCCCATCAAGCTGCAGCATAGTGACGGTACTTCAGTTTTAAAAGTCATGGAGCGAATCTTCAGAGAATTGTGTTTGCCATGTAACGTGTGTGCGTGACACAAGCCAAAGGTTTGCTCTAAATGTTGATGAGGGCAGTGCTGATGTGCCACCATGTACTCTATAAAAAAAAAATTTTTTAAAAAGTAACCATTGATAATGTCTCCACGCAGAGATCCAACCTCTCTGAGGTTGGATTTCAGTCGTTAATCTGCCTGCATTATGCCGCCTCCTGCTTTAATTGTTAGTGAAGTTGTCATAGTTTTCCAGGAACTGTGCTGCACAGTTGTGCTTTTATTTTTGATGTGGACTCGGTTGAAATGCTGAAATGGACTGCTCCTTTGAAAAAATGCCCAGGATGGCAGTATTAGCTCTCCAAAGTATATTTTTTCTTTTTAGTGTGTATTTGGAAAAGATTATGATTCCCTTTATTGAAGCCCATCTTTCACTCGTCAGCCTCATATTTGATCGACTGTTCTCGCTTACATTTGTGATCCTGCTCGGAGCGTAGGGTGAGTCGGCTGAGCCTTCCCTTGGGCTGATTTACTGCAGAACACACCGAGCTCCTTTTATGGAAGACTTTTATAAAGCCCTAAATATCCTTTGTATTATGTGCCCATGGATGTCTTTAATTTATGGCTGAGGTGTCGTCATAAATTACACGTAGTGTGTAGAGTAAATATTTAATTATCATTGTATGACACATTCCCTTCCCAGATATTAACGACATGCGGTCTTCTTATGAGGGATTTGGCAACGGTTGGATAAAATGAAATGAAATAAAATAAAAAAAATAATTAATTCAGAGGTTCACAACTGATTAGGTTTAGATCACTTAATCAGATTTTATTATTTACAAAAATATAATAAATTCTGATAACAAAATATAGTTTCTCTGATCTAAAAATGAACATAAATTAGAAAAGAATTTAATATATTTTTCAAATTATTATGTAATTTATTACAGCTCTTGTATTTCATTCTATTTACAAACACTGTTTTGACATATGACTGCTGCTGCACTGTGTACAGTCAGTCTACAGACAGCTATCGTATTAGATCAGCTATGAATCAAATACGGAGCTCCCCAACCCCAGCTGCCTCAGCCCAGCATGATGATCTCATTGGTTGTTAGTCTTGTAAACAGGCTGTCAAGTTATGAGGGGGAAGTCTTGTGCATTAGTGATAAAGATTTATCTGTTGCAGGGAGTGTTGGGCAGGGCACGCTGAGGCCCACCGACAGGTTGAAACCCACAACATTTAGATGTCAACCCATGTGCACCATGTGATGAGACAAATCAGCTTTCAGCAGCTGATTAAATGGAGAAATTCTTTATGTATATATCTTTTAAACCATGTGCTGTAACGGCAAGGCTAAATAAACTTTTAAATTTATCACATGCACCAGTGAATTAATTTAAAAATAACTCACCTATTAATTATTTAGTGACTTTTTATTTCTATCAAGAACATCGATGCTTTTTAATTTACTTTTACTTTTATATGTGCAAGTGTAACATATTTAATGCAGAGAGGAACTTTTATTAATCAAAATATGAACTTCGGTCTTCTTCAGAATAGATTTTCTTCTACTGTGCTGCTCAGTATATTCCACTCTTCAGCCACAGTAAAGCAAATTTCAAGAGTGTTCAAATATAGAAAAGTATCATTATTGCTTTAATGATGTTTTATGTTCTTCAACTTGGGAATTTCAACACAAAATACATACATGTTCATGCCATTTTCAGTATTTCATGTACTGGTTGGAGCTTAATGAGTTGTACCTGTATGACTGTAATGAATTAAAGAATGGCAAAGACGTAAACAGAAAACAAATGGCAAACTTACATTTGGGATTCTGGTTCCAAACAGTCAGTGAGCTGTGTGCTGCCATTGGACTGCGACAGACCAATAGATATCTCCTCACTTCTGCTGCCCAGGCTGCCATTACCATCAGTCCTGCTGTCTGGAGACTTTTGGAAAGAGCCCACAGTGGCCGACTCAGTTTGCCACAGAAAACAGGAGCAGCGAGTTCGCAGCTCCTTATAAAAAGAGTTTAACCACACCGTGGACAGCCACGGGCAGCCAATTAGGTTCTTGAAAGCAGTTCGAAACTCCGGACTCCTGCAGTAGATGATGGGATTGAGACCAGAGTTGATGTAACCCAGCCAGTTCAAATACAAGAACAGCCGATTGTTCAACTGTATTTCACTAAAGGCTTGGATAATGTTGGCAACAAAGAACGGCAGCCAGCATATCGTGAAGGTCCCCATGATGATGCCCAAAGTCTTGATGGCTCTGAGCTCACCAATCAGCAGTCGTGATGGTCTCCTCTTGGTGCTCTTTCTCCTGGCCATGTTGTTGAAGCTGTTGGAGCCCAGGCATGCAGGGGGCAGGAGATTGTTCACGTTGGAGCCACTTTGAATCTGTGCAAGGCATTCGTTCTGCAAACGCGGCCGAGCTTTCTTTATGAGCTTGACCTGTCGTGCAGCAATGACAAAGACTTGTGCGTACACAGCTATCATTATTACTAGTGGGATATAAAAAGAGACTAACGAGGATGAAATAGCATATTCTTTGTTAACCACAAAGTCACAGCAGTTAGTATTTTCATAACAACTGCTCTCGTTTTTTTTCCACAACCAATCTATCATCATAATTGGTACAAACGAAATTAAAGTCGACACGCCCCAGACTAAACAGACTATCACTCTTGCACGAAATTTACAGAGTAGAACTGTGTATCGCAGAGGTCTTGTAATGGCTACATACCGATCGACAGCGATGACACAAAGCGTTTCAATGCTTGCCGTCACACACAGAACGTCAATTGAAGTCCAGAGGTTACAGAAAGTTCTGCCGAGCCGCCAGTTACCTATCAGGACATAACTGGCCCCAAATGGGACCACAAGGACCCCCATGATGAGGTCCGCACATGCTAAGGACATGATTAAGATGTTTGTTGAAGTCTGTAATTGTGGAGTGCGTGCCACAGCGATGATGACCAGCAGGTTTCCAACAACGGTGACCAGGATGATGATGACCGCCATGACGGAGAACCAGTCTCCCGGTGGATTAAGGTATGTTTTGATTTCTAAAGTGTCGTTTGAGCAATTCATCTTTCATTGGCTCAACTCTGCACAAGTTGAAGACGTTCAAAACTCATCAAAAAGACTAAAAAAACCACGCACATAAATCCGCACAACACCGAGAGTTTGCAGTTTTTCCCCTACAAATTATTTTCTCTTCTCTGCACAGAATGCTCACATGTCGCACCTTGGGAGTTCTGCTCTGGCAGCCCTCAAATGGGAGTGGTGGTTCTCCATCTTTCCAAAATAAGCAACATATTCTTCCAAGTGATGAATCCAAACTGTCCACAGAACTAAAAAAGTTCCATCAAGTTCATGAGTCCAAGAAAAATGTAAAAGTATCAAGTAAAAAAAGTTTTGGAGTACGAAAAGTTTCGCTTTGACCATTTAAATCTGTCCACCAGCTGGAGTTTTCTGAAGAATCTTGTTCTGACTACAATGCAACAGTTGAACTGTGTGGAGATCAAGGAAACACTGTCGCCTTTTCAAGAACAACCAGAGTGACTTCAAACTCTTCTGTCTCTCTGTCTCTCTCTCTCTGTTTCTCTCTCTCTCTCTCTCTCTCTGTCTCTCTCTCTCTCTCTCTTTCTGTGCAGGTTCCATAAGATTGTATTGGTGGTAATCACACCCTGACTGGAGACAGAGAGGAGGAGCGTAACTGTGTGAGTGTGTGCGTGTGTGTGTGCGTGGGGGTGTGTGTGTGTGGGTGTGTGTGCGTGTGCGTGTGTGTTTGTGTGTGTGTGTGTGTGTGTGTAGGGGTGTGCGTGTGTGTGTGTGTGTGTGTGGGTGTGTGTGTGTGTGTGTGTGTGTGTGGGTGTGTGTGTGTGTGCGTGGGTGTGTGTGTGTGTGTGTGTGCGTGTGTGTTTGTGTGTGTGTGTGTGTGTAGGGGTGTGTGTGTGTGTGTGTGTGTGTGTGTGTGTGTGTGTGTGTGTGTGTGTGTGTGTGTGTGTGTGTGTGTGTGTGTGTGTGTGTGCATAAGCGCTACAAGGATCAGCACCCTGATAGAGCTGTGCAAATGTGAACAGTCACACACAAAAACTTTGGTTCATGTACAGTTAAAACCAAATATATATATATATATATATATATATATATATATATGTAAAGAAAAGGAATTATGGACCTTCACAAATGTGATTCATTCCTTTTTTTCTATGATTTTTAACCAGCAGCTTCTCTTTCCCATATGTTCTGATGAACTCCCCAAACTTAACACTCAACTAAGCAGTCACAGAAAACGATAAATATTTAAGGGAATGTTTTTGCAATTACAACTTGTTTGGGTCATCCATCATGTGTTGTGTCTTTTCCATGACTCCCCTGTAGTATTATTTACCCTGTGTAAAATAATGCAGGTTTGCTAAGTAGAATTATATAATCAGAATTCTATAAATAGTCTCGGTATCTCGGCTGCCATCATGTTATGGAGGGGCACACCCTGGTCAGTCTGCCAGTATGTTGCAGAGACACAATCATTCTCTCACATTAAGGTCAGCAATCACTCTAAAAACAAAAATACATGTTCTTAGACTCCAAGAGGACAAGATTTACACTCAAGGGAAATTACAGTCATACGCTGCTTACTTTACAAAACTGCTAAATTACTTAAGGGCAACTGCTTAAGCAGACATTGTGCACTTATCAATCTAAAAGTTGAATTGCTTAATTGTTTTTTTTTATTGTTTATCTCTAAACCTCCACATGAATTCTGCAGATGCAGTTTGTGGTCAGCACTTCAGACCACAAGGCATTTGTTACCAAACCGCAAAGAAAGGAAAATAAGTGCCCTCAGTTTGACTCAGAGCTGTAAAGAAAATAATAGATTGCTATCTCGCTGTTGCACAATCCAGTGCGCCGAGGACGAACAATCAGGCAAATACCTTACATGCGATTCTCTTAAGATAACCAACACTGTGCTCTTCTGCTGAGCTGTTTTGTCACTAGGCAGTTCCTTCTTTGGCTTGAATGCCTCTATGTCTTCAGCTCCTCTGTGCCTACTCCCACGTTGAGTTTTATATCTGCAGGACTTATGAATATTTGCTTTCTTCAAGCAGCTTTAACTCACACTTTCGCCAGTGGTTCATAAAGTTTGGAGTGGAAGAAAGATGGACGACTCCAGAGAGGAAGTTGAACAAACATCTTCATACTCACCTCTCACCAAACATGTAACACAAGGAGAAATGTGGACAGTTCATGGACGACTAAATATCCGAGAAACAACTGTCCACATTTTGATTCAGCATTAATTTGTGAGTCCAGTTTATGAAATGAAACTTTATTCATATAGATGGAAGCTATTGTCGCGCCATTAGCAACAATAGTTGCCCTTGTTTTGTGCAGTTCAGTTTCAATTTGAAATCATATACTGTGGAGGTTTTTAGGCAAGACTATTCAAAAGGTTGCATCAAATGCTATGTTAAATCCCACCATCTTGAGCATGCAAGGAGAAAACATTCCTCTCAGGAGGACCTTAATAACGCCTCACACAATCAGTCAGTGATCCAAAGCCATCTGCCAAAGAAACCTCTGAGCAACAGGACGACATGACAGATTGTGCTGCTCAACTTTACGAAACCAGAAAATGCAGGAGAAGGCATGTGGACCATGTGTAATATCTTCTGAACCTTGTCTGAAAACAAGTGTGCAGAAGATGTTGTCACTAAGATATGTATGTAAAGAACTTCCTATTTATTTCTGTAAAAAAAAAAAAAAGAAACCTTCAACCTTTTTTTTTTTGTTTCTTTTGTTTATACACAGATTGAACAAACAAGATATGTGATGAAAAATGGCTAACTTTAGGGAAAGTAACAAATTCCTTTGTTTCCACTCACCAAGCTGAGCGAACCAGCTGCAGGCACCAGCTTCCTGTTTAACATAGTGACGTTCGAAGGGTGTCAGTTTTCTTATCTACCGCTTGGCGAAAAGCAAGCAAGCACATTTATCTATGCCAGACCTGTTCTTTTAGAGTTTTTCTGAGTGACTAATCTTAATTTAAAGTCATTTTTGAAATCCAGACCTGACAAGGAGCCCAGATGCATTAATAATTGTGAAGGTACGCCTCTTTTTTTGTTTTTTTGTTGGGTTTTTTCACGTCTATATCGTCCCCTCCCTTCATCTCTGTCGAAGTTTGAATGCCTTGTTTTTCTTTCCTTTGTCTGGGTTACTTTGTCACTCATCAGAGAGGAAGCTGTGGAGATTTAAATGCGTGCGCAAAAGGGGACAAGTGGGCAGAAGCAAAACACTGATGCATTTCTAAGTTTGATGACCAAGGAGCCCCACCAGAGAGCATTTCTTCAGACGAAGGTCACTGCTTGGGAGCTGACAGCTTGGCAGCTGCTCGTTTGTCTTTGCGTGAGAAGATGTTGCTGGTGGATCTGGACCTGGTCCTTGTCCAGTCAAGCATGGCAGCTGGCACAAGCGGAGTAGTTGACAGTGAATTCAGGCATGACAGCTTTCTCACCACTGCACATACAGGCCTGCAGCGGTAACATCAGCATTATATTCTGCATAATGCTGATGATTACCATTTTAAATAAACCATTCAAAGAATTTCCCATCATGTTCTACGTACAGCTACAGTTTATGCTTCGGGTACATTAAAGCATCTAATGTACATTAAAGCATCTAATGTGAAGAAATATATATATATATATATATATATATATATATATATATATATATATATATATATATATATATATATATATATATATATATTTCTCTGTGTGCTTTGGTATTGTGATCTCAGAAATGGCAGCAAGGGTTCATCATCTCTAAAACTTGATTTTTGAAGAGTCCAGAATTTGCTCAATTCATGACAGACAGCTGCAAGTATCCAAGCATTCACACATCTTCCTAAAGCCCGTTCCTCATGCTAGGAATGTTTTTGTCCCTCTCCATGGAAACATATAACAAGATGTGATAAGGAAAAAACAAAAAGAAACATATGTTATTTCTTTGTCGATACAAATGGCACAGCTCTGCTTCTCTGTGGCCATCTGGACAGTATGGACCCAGATTTCACTTCATGGAGCAATCCATCCGATTTCTGCCAACACTCCCACGTCTAGAAGAGACTATGCATGCAATCATTCTCTTACGTTAAGTGGCAAATGCTGGTGTCAACATAATGTTCGGCTCTGCAATCTGCATGTGATGTGCCTCTTCAAATTGTTTGGATCTGCTCTGGCGCTCCTATGATTTAGCAAAAAAAGACAGGGACAGATTGAAGTTAATTCATTTCAGATGGAGTGAGTGGTCTTCATGTCTTCATGAGGCTGTTTGCTCACCGTTTCTTCACGAATGAAGGGTGAATTCACAGTTTAATTTGAACTTTTTTAAAAAACCAAACATCTTAATTTCCTTCTTGTTTACATTTTACCACAACTTTGTGCCAATTAATTACAAATAAAAATATGAAATACATTAAAGTTTAAGATTGCAAAGTGACATAATGTGAAACAATTTAAGGGGCAGAAATACGTTTCAAAACACTTTGGCATTATCATGTATTTGTTTGTTTGTTAGTTTTTTTCTATTCCTTAGAACAGGAAGTTCTCCATTTGGCTAAATAAGCATGGTACATCCATGTTCATTATACTAATATGCATGACAGATTCTGGGATGGAAAAAAAAGGAAAATGTGTGCTGCGTATGAATGAAAAAAATGTTTTTGACTTGAGAACATTTCTCCCTAATTGTTTGCATCCTGTGGGAGCCGAAGCCCAAAGATCATCTCCTCTTCCACCAGATGAGCAACATGGAGTGATGGGTTGAGGTGAGAGAAGGCCGAGATCTTCGGACTTCCACAGCTTTCATCCCGTGGGTAACTCACCCTCATTATGTTCTAAGTGGAACCACATGCTGAGGGTTTCTGGGGATCTTCACAGGGGATTCTGAGGGGTGTAAGGGCATCCACTGCCTCGGCCCTCTCATACACAGGACTCTCAGGAGAGATGTCCCAGATCAGCTTCGGTCTTGGAGGCCATCCTAAGCATTTCATCTCGACAACTCTCCGTGAACACAAGCATGTTTTTCCAATGTCAAACACATGTTCCTGATGAAAACAAATTGAGTGCTGGCTTCGCCGAAGTGATACTGTTCAACTTTTAAAATAAAATTTATTGAGCAATTCTTTCATATTCTGTGCAATTAGCTTTGATTTTTTTTCTTTTTCTAGCTACTTGATCATAAATTTAAATAGAAAAAAAATAAAATAAATATATATATGAAACTTCTTGTTTACTCACAATTGAGACAAAACAATAATATGTAGCAATACGTTTTTCATCAAGCTATATTAAACAATTCATGTAATCTTCTGCTGAAATGCAATATATTACATCCTTTTTCCTTTGACTTCTCCAGGTTTCTGTTTGCTTCAAGCATTGGTTCAGAGTGTTGTGGTGCATGGCAGCCATTTTTTCTTTAAACCGTGCCAAGCTAGCTGCTAGGTAGGCATCGCATGCAAATAGTGACGTAGATAAGTAACAGAGGAAGTATTGCAAACAAACAAGACA